GACGGAACAATGTGTAATTGAACTGTGGAGAGAGAATATTGTTGAGCACGTGAGACGTTCGTTGAGAATTATAGCGTTTGTTATAGCGCGACTGTTGAAATTAAGTGTATCGTAAAGTTATATTCAGAAAGATTAAACCAGTTTTATTTAAGAAAGGACTTGTGTCACTAAAGTTTCGTCGGAACGAATTTACGGAAAATTAACTAACGAACGGAAAAGTAACAATATATTAAGAACGTGTGGAATTTAGTGCTATAAAAACTGCCGAATGCAGTATTATTATGTTATATTTATAACATACATTTGTTTCTTGTTATGGACCAAGTAATGGTCTGCTACTGACTCATGACTTAATTAGGCCTATATGTGTTACTGATTTGAGAAATGCCTCTCCCCCATCCAGAAAAAAAAATCCTGGTGACGTCCATGAATTTTGGACTATGTTGATAAGACTGTAGCTGGACGAGAAAAAAATGGCGAATTTTGCGATGTGTGATTGAGTACTAGACAAATTAATAAAAATAACACCTTTTTTGAACTGTATAATTTTATTTTCGTTCTAACAAATACATTTAATTCTGAACACAGAAAGAGAAAATAATAAAACAAGGACAACAAGCGATCTCAAAGATCTAGAATTGACTAGTTCCAAATACTGCCAATCACTCTCGACTACAAAGCTTCAGCTTCTCACCAATTAACTATCTCTCTAAAGGAGGTGTACTTTCAGTATCTGTTTTATTTTTTAAAATTTAGACACATATATTCGGTTACTGAAAGCAAAACCTTGGTTAGTATTTTTTTTTATAAACTCCTTAAAGAATACATAGCATCACGTATATGATAAGACAATCAGTGGACATGGAAGTCTGATCAATCTTATAATTTTGAATTGTTATCATTTCAAAACCTATTAATATATATGAACGAAGATCTGATTTGAAACAATATAAAAGTTATATTTTAATCCCTAAAAAAATGCTGTTGATTAATCTTGTTGACAAATTTTACTGTTACGATAATGTACGAAAACACAGAATTGTTATAATCCATAAAATATCTATGAAAGATACATAGATCCACGCTGAAAGGGCGAGAATGTTCGGTTACGAGGATTTGAACCCTCAATTTGCGAGTCGAGCACCCTTAACACTAACTCTAAGGTAACTAGTACATCTGACAATAACACAAGGTGTTTGATTGCAAGTGTTATTTAAAATTTGGTCCTACTTCAACCCTATTTCATCAAAAACCAATTCTTTGAACTTCTTACTGAAATAGGCTTAAAATATATATTTGGGTAAGTTATTAATGGGTACATTACCAGTAGTAACATTGTTTAATTGAGGAAACAACAAAACTATTTCCATATTTAAACTGTTTCCTGGTTTGGTTTGAATTTCGCGCAAAGCTACACGAGGGCTATCTGCGCTAGCCATCCCTAATTTAGCAGTGAAAAACTAGAGGGAAGGTAGATAGTCATCTCCACCCACCGCCAACTCTTGGGCTCCTCTTTTACCAACGAATAGTGGGATTGATCGTACCATTATAACGCCACCATGGCTGACAGGGCGAGCGTTTTTGGCGGGACGGGGATTGGAACCCGCGACCCTCAGACTGCGAGTCAAATGCCTTCACCACCTGGCCGACTGTTACCTAGAATTAAGAGCATTCAGCTACAGTATTGGAGCATCTGTATGTGTATTAATATAATGGTTATTACTGTGTGTGTGTGTTTTTTTGTACAATAACAAACAAGACAGTTTACCTGCGAAATAACATAAAATATTCTGAAAGTGAACCTTACGAAGAAACAAAGTCAGCTTGTGTGTTTCCAATTGTGTTAATGCCGTGGTCACGTGTTGGATATTTGATCTACGTTTAAAACATTTACAACATGTACCCGCTTCACCTATCAGCTTGTTTGTTTTTGAATTTCGCGCAAAGCTACACGAGAGCTATCTGCGCTAGCCGTCCCTAATTTAGCAGTGTAAGAACAGAGGGAAGGCAGCTAGTCATCATCACCCACCGCCAACTCTTGGGCTACTCTTGGGCGTTATAAGCCCCCACGGCTGAAAGGGCGAGCATGTTTGGTGTGACGGGGATTCGAACCCGCGACCCTCAGATTGCGAGTCGAGTGTCGTAACCACTTGGTCATGCCAGGCCCTCACCTATCAGAGAAATTTGTCTGTTGTTAAGCAACATAATGGACTATCTGTGCTGTACCCACCACGAGTATCTAAACCCAAATTTTAGCGTAATAAGCTTTCAGTCATACCGCCGACCCACTGGGTGGTGGTG